CTAAAAGCTTATACAATACCATTGTCTATTTAGTGATACTATTTCTACATATAGTTAGTACCATTGAATGCAAATATAGTAGACGTCCCACCACAAGTTGACACCTCATTAAAAAGTCTTAAATACTCAGTGTTCTTCCCCTCTGTTCCTTGCCCCACCTCCCCGCATCCCTAGCAACCCCCTTCCCCACCCCCAAATCCACCATTCCCTTTCACCCCAACACAGAAATCACCACCTCCTCCCTTCCCCTTGAAACATCATTTCCTCCCACAGTCCCACCCCCACCCCGAAAATCACTCACCTTTCCCTCCTAGTCTCCTACCCCTGTTTTGAAATCACCACCCCCTTCCCCACCCATGATTTTTAATTGAAAAGGGGCTTAATTGTTGGAAGCTTTGAGCAGCAGTTGGGTGCTGTTGTTGCTGGACGGTGACCGAAGTCGCAGGTGAGGGAAGCTTTGAGTAGCGAGAATTTGATGTGGGTGGGTCTGATTGGTGGATGCACTACACCAAAAATTAGATTAGAGATCGCAAAATATAGAACGGTTATTAAAGGCAGGCGTTCTCCAGAAGAATATAGATCGTTTTAATATAAGAGACGTTCTATATGTTAATACATATAGAACGGTTAGCATAGTTAACCGTTTTGTATTTCAATTTACTTAAATAATTAAAAATAATAATTATTTATTATAGATGATATAAAACGGTCATCTTGACAACCGTTTTGTATTATATTAATTAATTATTATTTTTAATTAGGAGGAAATTATATACGTACATACACAATAATAATTTATTCTTGTTTTCAAAAAAAAAAAATTACCGAAATTTCCGTAAAATTTTTTTTTTACCCAAAATACTAAAAGGGAAAATTGAAGCGATTATCACTTTCACTTTCATCAAAAAGTGAAACCTCTTTCTCATTCATCTGCAAAAAAAAAGTGAAACCTTCATCAAACCTCCATAGCAAATCTTTCATCAGCCGCTTATTGCACCGCCGCTCCACCGCCTTTCCACGTCTGCAGTACCGCACATGTCTGCTGAGCCACCAGTAAATTGAGGTAGGCTCAAAATTTTTTTTTTTTTTTTTTTGGTTCGAATTTTTATTGTGGTAGAGTAATTGGATTCTGATAATTGTCAATCTAATTGCATGAATCATTCAAATTATGGAGGAAACAGAAGTAAATTCGTAGAATTCGAATTTTAGGTGATTGAAAAAACCTTCAAAGTTCTTGTTTTTGGATAAATTCATCGATTGTCTGTATGTAAATATTTAAGCCGAATTATTGCAATAAGTTCAATCAAATTACGCTTAATTTTGTCGAATTTACTCAACGAATTCCTAGGGTTTTGATTCGATTTTTTTGCTCGAAATTTCTCGAATTAATGCTCTAATTTGCTCAATTTTTTGCTCGAATTTGCTTGAATTTGCCCATAATCTAATTTGCTCGAATTAATGCTCGAATTCTTGGGGTTTCTTAGGGTTTTATTTTGTTGTTTTGCTCGAAATTGGGGGTTTTTATTAATGCTCGAATTGGGGGTTTTATTAATGCTCGAATTCCTGAGGTTTGGTGGTTGAATTTGTGGAATTTTTTTGGTCGAATTTCTGGGGGGTTTTGGGTAGAATTTTTGGGGTTTTGGGTCGATTTTCTAGGGTTTTTGGTTCGATTTTCTGGGGTTTTTGGGTCAAATTTCCTTGAATTTCTGGGTGATTTTTGCTCAAGTTTCCTTGAATTTCTGGGTGATTTTTGCCTTGGGGATTGCCTTGGACCTGGGTTTTTTCAGCCTGTGTTTAGAAACTGACTGCTTGAAGCTGTGCAATGCCTTGAAGAAAAGAGATGTGCAGCCTACTTAGTTTGGTTTGGTAGTGAATAATATCCTGAATTTAGCTGCTAGGTGTCGTGTTTGTTCCTTTTCTTTTGTGAAACGTGATGGCAATCGGGTTGCTCATGAGTTGGCAAAAATGAGTTGTAAGGCCTGTCGAACAGATTAATGACTTGCATTGTGCAAATATGCTTAATCCATCGTTTTTAAAACAACTGTTTAAGGCCTGTGTACAGAACAGAAGGAAGCACTAATGTTGAAATGGGTGATCTTTTATAGGTAGTTTAAGGGGTCTAATGTTGAAATGAGTAAAATATAGATGATTCGTATGCAGCTAGGTTGGAGATTAGACAATTGCAAGAAATAGAAATGATTTGCAACTTTCAAACATAATGTCTTCAAAAGGTTCTTGAGGTGATGTAGGTTAAGGCAGTCATCTGTGTTGTTTTCCTTTTTTTTTTTTTCTAAAGCTTGGTGTGTTGTGCAGCAAGATAGCAATTATCCATTATCATTGCTGTGAAGTCATCTGATAAACAGTCAACAACCGTGGTTCTTTCCTTGACTATGTCTGGTGTGGAAAATAGTTAGCATGAATCTGATGTCTGTACTGTTTTAATTTATTTATGGCATATGAGGATTGAGATTCAAGTTTTTTTGTAAGCTTATTCCTTGTCTCAATGATGTTCTTGTAGTTTAAGTGACTGATATCGGCTCATATTTAATTTTTACAGTAGACAAATCTCAGACAGTTAAACAAAAGAACAATATAAATGGCAGAAGGGGTGATAGAAGAAGTTCTAAAATTCCACTGAAGGCAAAATTTGATCCATGAAAGTTGGCTTGACAAACTTCAGTCCCACAAGTGGAGGAAGCAATGTTTTTGGTATGAAACCGGTATCTCTATTGTGAGATTGCTAAAAAATTTCTAAGGCATGCCTGACAGAAACTATTATGCACATGGCTGTTATGTGTATTATGAGCAACCTTTTTGGATAGTATCTGTTCTTATGAACTTAGATAAAAAAAAGGATATGCTTATTTATATTTAATTAGATGAATTTATTGTATATTATTAACTAATATGTATGTATTTTACATTGTTTTGTAGTATTTTAAGCAAGTTCCTCCTACATATTCTCAACAAATGATCAACGAGTTTAGGAAAAGGTGGATTTCATATGTTACCGGATACCAACAACCAAATGACGACAACGACGACGATTTATGTGAATTGTAGATCAATATGGTATTGGTATATCTAAGCACAATTTTTTTTTTCAATCAACATTAACTAGAAAGGTGTTTTGATATTTAACTCACGTATTTGTTTGTATAGTACAAATTTTGTATGAATGATTCAATTTAATTGTGGTTCGATGTTTTAAATTATATATATGAAGTATATTTTGATGGCTTTCGTCATATTTGGAAATATTTTTGTTGATTTTATTATACAAAAATTTATATTGCACGTATACAGGATCATGGATTTATTTTACATGGGAAATGTGGATTTTTTCTTACAGAATAAATGTACAAGATACAAAACAGGAATACAACAAATACAGGTCTAAATGAAATACAAAAATAATATAGATTATTAAAATACAGGAATAATACAATATAAAATACGTACAAAAGTAATTCGAATTATTATGGCTGGATTTAAAAAAAAAAAAATTAAGAAATGTTATCTAACTTAACCGTTCTCTATTGTAATGCAATATAGAATGGTTAAGTGTCCTAAACCGTTCTTTATTCCTTCCTTAGTGTACAAATTTAAGAAGGGAAAAGAGAACGGTTGTGACTAACAACCGTTCTCTATTTGTTATTATATAAAACGCCTAAACGACCCATTCTCTATACTTTATACATCGCTTAGCAAAAGATCGCCCCTAAGGCGATCTATAAAGCCTATTCTAACAGTTCTCTAAGGCCTTTTTTGTAGTAGTGATGGGTGTTTTTTTTATTAATTTTTTTAGGGAAGATTGAATGAAAAATAAATAAATAAAAATTATCAAGTACCCGGTTAAATAAACTCGCTAAAGTTGTGGGGTAGCAAAAATCGACTTAGGGCCTGTTCTCATTGACCGAACTCAGCTGATCTGAATTGAACTGAGCTGAACTGAACTGAGCTGAGCTGAACTGAACTGAACTGAATTGAAATGAATATTTCATAAGAGAAGGAAATTAAGAGCTGAACTGAACTGAACTGAATTGAATTGAACTGAATTTCAACGTAAGAGAACATGCCCTAATTTGAATTAATTAAAAGCTTGACTTATTTTGAGTAGGCCACTTGAAGGCTTGCTTATTCTTGGCAAAGTTTTCTTTTTTTAATTTTTTTGTAATAAGTTTTTCTATTTAATTTCTATTTAATTTTTTTAACTTATCATGTGCCGACACGTGTCAAGTAATTTGTTATAACATATCAGATGACCGGCTGGAGCTATCTAAAGTGAATCCATATTAAAATTCAGATTAAAAAACGAAAGTTAGGATTATTTTGGGCGAATGAGGCAAATTTCGGATTATTCTGGGCAAAATTTCCTATTTCACTAGCTTTGCACGCTACCACAAAAAACAAAAAAATCACTTATTTTATTATTTATCACCTTATATACTCTCTTTGTCCATAATAACTAATATAATTAAACTTTGTACACATGTCAATCCATTAGTTAGTTTGACCTTATTTTTTATATAATAAAATATTACTCAATTACACTAAAAAAAGTATAGTATTAGGGTTTCAAAAAAAAAAAAGTATAGTATTATGAAACATTATATCAATACCTATCTAAGAACATGATTTTATTTTGTAAAAACTATAGTCATATATTGTTAAGCCTATGAACAACCCACGTGTGAGCATTCTCTTGTCCCACCTACACTAAAAAGACTAAAGGAAAGTGTAGTGGTAATGTAATCCCACATTGAAAGAATTCAACAGTTACCACCACTATATAAGTTTAAGGGGCTCATTGCCCTATGGTTTTGAGGTGGAACCTCCTTGATTTTGTAAAGTGGTGGCCTGGGCTTACACTCTCCCGTGACGGGTGCGGCCCAGACCCGTGTTTAACATATATAGTTAATATGTGAATAGTGAAAGTCAAACTTGTCAGTTAATATGGGACGAAGGAAGAAGCTTCTGCCCATGAGCACACAGTTGCATTAGACAAGGTAAAATGTATATTGCTTCAAATATGAAGTTTTATTGAAGGAAAGGACGATCAACTAAACACACATAAAATCAAGCAAGCTAAGACATTACAAAGCAACCAGACAGTACAGGACTAACAAGTAAAGACTACGGTGACAAAGATGCGATCCTTCTATTGCGGCACACATAGACCAAGACCACCTGGAGCACCTGGTATCAAACTACACCTAAATTCTTTGCAGCATACGTGATCTATGTCACAAAACCCGAATTGTGGTGCGCACTCATCGTTCTCTGTAGTAGTAGTTACCGCGACTTCACGACTATAAGGATGTCGTATAATCATCTTTTTGTTCCAGTTACTCATCTCTATATGTTTTGGTTGCACTATCACCACTTTCTCTACTACAACATCAAAGTTTCCTGGCATTTCTCCAGGAGTTGTTTTCTTAACTCTTTCAAACATCGGATCAGCTGCGCGCATAAATAGAATAGTTATTGAAAAAAACTGTTTAGTTCAACAACTCAATCAAACAAACAGATATATTAACAAAACAGTACACTAAAATAGAATAATCAAGCTCATTAATTAAAGTCGTAACCTGTTGTAGTACTCATGAGCATGAACAAGCAGATTGCTAAAACAGCAAAATCAACGACTTCGAGTGAGACTCTCTCCATTTCCTTCAGCCTAGCTATATTCACTTTATTACTTTGGCTATTATTGATTGATTATTTGATTAGTTGTTAATGCTTGAATGGCTGTAAAGCCCATTCTATTTATATAAGCATAAAAGTTAATAATAAAAAAATATTTGTAACTGATAACATGCAGTAAATTATGTATTTTCCCTGTTATATAATAATTGACTCACTTAAATTTGACACACATGATATCGATACACTAGTTTAACCTTTGTTATATATAATTAAATAATATGAAAAGGTAGATTTTATGAAACTTATACTCCGTAATCATATAACTAATATATAAGGAAAATTTGCGAGGAAGGTCCTTTTAAGTGGTCGACCTTATAAGAAAAATCCTTTTATAAAAAAGGTGGAACAAAATGTCCTTATATCATGTTTGGGTTGTGAGGAGGATCCTTTGACCATTTTTCGGCGTTGACTTTTTTATTTTCCGGCCAAAAAAAGTCACATCTAAGTTCTCTTTTTTCTCCCTCCCCTTTTCCCTTATTTCCCCCTTTTTCCCCCTATTAAACCCTAATTTGTGAAAACAATTAACACCAAAACTTCAATTGTAATCCCGTAAATTAAAATTGAAGGCTATTCAAAGTAATTCAAGGCTAATCCTCCCCACAATGAGAGAAAATAGGAAAAAAGGGAACTTAATAAGTCACGTGCTTTACACGTGGCTTTTTTTGGCTGGAAAAAAAAAAAAGTCAACGCCGAAAAATGGTCAAAGGACCCTCCTCACAACCCAAACATGATATAAGGACCTTTTGTGCCACCTTTTTTTTTTTTTTTTTTTTATAAAAGGGCCTTTCTCACAAGGTCGACCACTTAAAAGGACCTCCCTCGCAAATTTTCCAATATATAAAACTAAACTTTTAGCTAGGTCATGAGGCAACGACACTTGGCGTTCTAACTTTTCGCCTAGTGTCGCGCCACGTTGGATAGATTAAATAAACTTTATAAGATAAAAATTGTCAAAGTGTCGCGCCACCTTGAATAGACTTAGATAGACTTTATAAGATAAAAACGTTAGTTAAAAACTCCATTTTCAATCAAATTAGGATAGAATTTTAGAATAAGATTGTTGTTTAGAGTTTTATTTTCGATAAAATACCAAATAATAAACTTATAATTAGGCCACAAGACAACATTATTTAGCGTTTTAACTTTTCGCCAAGTGTTGTACCATGTTGGATAAATATAGATAGACTTTGTAGCAAAAAAAGTTAATTTAGAATTCTATTTTCAATCAAAATTGAATATAAAATAATTTTATCTTAAAAGTCCATAAACAACCCGGGCATCGCACGGGGCATAAAACTAGTATCTATTTAAAAACATATTTCATATCTCTTGTTTGTAACATTGTAAAATTATATAAAGTGGATATTAATAAAATATACATTTAGACGATTTAAACAAGATCCCACCTGATAGGATTTTATCATAACTGTAAATCACAAAATCTAGTCAAATTGTAAAAGTCAAATGTTATCAACTAAAAAAGCAGAGAAAATATATGAATAGTGAAAAAAAGTGTCAATTATCATTAATATAGGGAGTAAATCTTGTCGTTTGACATATGTAATGTACCATGCATGCAATATGCATTCCTTAAAAAAAAAAAAAAAAAAAGTACCATGCATGCATGCATGCAAGAGTGATTAATTATACTTCCTCCGTTCTATTAATATTGCAACAATAGACCTTTTGCACTATTTATCACTCTTGTTTGACCATATAATATGAGTTATACATTAAGCAAAATATAGTCAAATGGAATCTTGTTGGATTTGTCTCATTTAATACTTTCACAATATCAACTTTTTATAATTTTTACTCTTACACAATTATAGATATTTAGCATATAAAATGTGTTTTGGGATGCGTAATTTCTTCCTTGTTGCAATATTAACAGAATGGAGGAAGTATAAAATATGTATAATTGTCAATAAAAAAATGAAATGTATGTATATTAATTGAAAATTTCTTATACTATTCTACGAATTAAGAGTTACAGTAGTTAATACTCCTCCGTTTTATAATGTTAGTCCTATAAACTATTTTGGGTGTTTCAAAAAGATATACTCATATGAAATATGTTTAATTTTTAACTTAATTAATTTTCCTTAAAAAAAACTTATTTTTTTTGGAATTAATTGGTTCATTGGTTGTGCATTGATGACATGATTCTAAATAAGGAAATCTATACCTTGAATTATACAATTATGATTTATATTTTTCCAAAAAAATAAATTAAAAAACTTAAATAAGGTAACTAATTATGAATTATTTTGTACTTTAATGTTAGATTTAAATTATTTTTATTTTTATTTTTATTTTATGTGATTGATTTTATATGAGACTAACATTATGAAACGAATAATAATAAATTTATCTTAAATTAATCAAGCAATTGAATAATAAAAATGATAATAATAATAAAAATAACACTCATATCTTCTCTCCTTGAATTGTTCTGTCCGTTACTAATAATTGCCAATGCACTGCACCTCCTTGCAATAAAATTTTGTGCAGCGCTTGATTCTTAATTAACCTACCCAGGCCATGACAATCAGATTAAATACTGTAAAAATTAGGTGTATTATTTTTAAAAAAAATTTTGGCAGTTATGTGCATGTTTTGTAACACCAGGTTTATTCCCTTTAAGCCACGTAAGTTATTAAAAAAAAATCTTTATTTTATTAAAGGGGTTTCAAAAAGAATTCTACTAATAACGTGCAATTAAAAAAGGAAAAAAAAAACGTGATTACTCAAGTTTCATGGATAAATGCATTAATGGAGGTTGTGGCAAGATCAGAGTTGGTACTTGGTAGTAGTCCCGCGGTCAAGGCGGTTCGTCAACGATTGATCAACCGTACACGTTGAGATTTTCTTGGAGAATGATCATTTAGTTTGAAGTTTATGTTCATATAATCAATCTATCTATGCGAATCTTGCTTGCAGGGACATTAACTAGCAACATAGACGTTTGCGCTATAATATAGTCGTATACTGATTTATTTACACATATTTAAAGAGGATTATACTCGCTTTGTGTTAAATATTTGAACCATGATATGAAAAAACAAATAAAATACTTATTGTATTTATGAGGCGCATCAGTTTGGGACTTGGGACTTGGGAGCGCGGGGTTGTGGACTTTGGGTTGGAAATTTGGTGGCCTAGGGGGTATGTATCCGGTCAGCAACATTTTCAGTGTAAACATTTGGAGCATTCAAGCTAGCGGTGATTTCGGAATTTCAGCCGAGTATCTTAGGTCCTATTTGGTTTGATGTAAAAGGTTTTCATGGAAAATGAAGTTTCCATTTTTTTTCCCATTTTTCTTTGTTTGGTTTGTTAAGGAGTGGAAAACAATTTTTCAAGGGTGAAAAATTTCATCCTTAATGATGGAAAACATTTTCCTTCCAAAAACAAGGGAAGCCACATTTTCCTCTCTCCTCCTTACCTCTTTTTTTACTTCCCTCTCATTCATCCTTACATTTCCACTCTTATTTTTTATTTTTCTTGGACTTTTCTTGTATGCAACCAAACAAAGGAAAACTAATTTGCAATTGTGTTTTTCCTTGAAAATATATTTTTCATGAAAACTAATTTTCCATTGAAAATGTTTTACATTAAACCAAACGGGGCCTTAATGTACTCACTTCGCATTTATAATATGAGTACTGCTATATGTAGCCATAACCCTAAGGGATACATATAAGCATTAAATACACTTTTATTCATGACAAAAAAAAAATACGCGTAAATTGGTGTAATTAGTGTTTATATTTTTATGATTTTCTAAATTTATAGGATTTTCATGTCATAATAATTGATACAGTTTAACTTTTCTCACTATTCACACACATACCAACTTTGACTATAGCTATTGATTGATGTATGAAAGACAGTTAGTAAGGAGTAACATGCATGCAATAACAAAAACAATTTATTTGAAGATACACCATAAAGGAAAATAGAAATATTTATGAAGACACCCGAAAAGAAATACAAGAAATGTACAGTGAATGTGTTGTCGATTATATTGTTGTACGTGTGTTTTGGAATTAGGTTGAAGCCCTAGCTTCAAGTCTTCAACAATCGATAGATCGATACCGATTGCCGGGCAAAGCTTCAAAGGTGAATTGGATGATCGAAGCATACCAGCAATTTTAAATCCACCAGTCGGGTACAAAGACAAGGGAATTGTCATTCATATGCTTTAGATGTCAATTAATTTAAATTTAGGTGGTTAGAGGACATGGATTAGGAGGTGGCACCCAAGACCTACAATCATTTTCATATCATTTGCCATTTTTTTTTGGGTATTGAGGATTGGGAAGTGACACACAAGACCCACAATTCAATTCCTATCTATACTATATACTAAAGTAATCACCAAAGGGGACACTTGGCATTATTTTGTACAAAATTTTTCCTCTAAAATGCTTTTTTTTTTTAATTATATAAAAAAAAAACTTAAAATTATTATAATAAATACTTTACAGAGTAAAAATGTAAAGGGTAGACAATAATAAATTCAAGTTTTAAAAAAAGTGTTACATAAGTCATTTAATTTCAATTGACTATTATTATTAATAAATCTTACTCCCTCCGTTCCCTAATTTTTTTACGTTCAGAATTATGCACGGTTATTGAGAAATTGTTTAAAGTAGAGGTATATTGGAATATTTTAATGACTGAAAGTACAATTTTATTGAAAAAAAAAATGTTGTGCATGTGGGGTGAAGAAAGTAGAGGAAAGAGGAGAGAGAAAGTAATAAAAGTTGGCAAAAAGTAGAAGAAAGATGAGAGAGAAAGTAATAATGAGTATTTAAAACCCATTAATAGGAAAAATGGAATCTAAAAATCCAACCTTTGGCCGGTCTGACAATAAAAATCCAACCTTTTATTAATCTAAAAAAAATCCAACCTTTGCACCCCACCTTTTTTGACAGATCCATTACCTGTTGATGATCGTTTTTTGTAAGTTATGTGCCACGTGTCTGTCGTTAATTGGTCAATTATTTTTTTAATCATTAAAAAAAATAGAAAAAAATAAAATAGAAAAAAAAAAAACACCACCAGCCACCTCCCCCAGCCCCCGCACCACCCCAGCCACCTCCCCCACTCCCCGACAACTTCCCCCCACCCCAACCAGCCCTACCATCCACTACTAGAAATAGGCCTATCTCCGACGGACTGGTTCCGACGGATATGTAATTCCGTCGGAAAACTCAGAAATTCCGACGGATTTTTATTCCGTCGGAATAAAAATCAGTAGGAATATATGGGCTTCCCGACGGAATATTAATACAAATCCGTCGGAAATTTTCGACGGAAATAAACATGGGCAACGGGCCATGCCGTGTCGCCGCGGGCCGTGCCGTGGTGGGGGCTGTGCCGTGCCGGCTCCGCGGCGGGTCGTGCCGTGCCGTGCCTGAAATTGGCACACCCCAGCCCACGGCACGACACGTCCCACGTGCCTTGCGGGCCGTGCCGCGGGCCAAATCGTGCCACCCTTTTTAATTTTTTTTTTTTAATAAATGAAAAAAAAAGAATTAAACGATATATATATATATATATATATATATATATATATATATATATATTAGTACAACTTAATATATGTGATTAATTTATGTTTATGTTAATGTTAATATAATTTGTTTACATTTTTTGAACAACTTTATTTTAATTTAGGTTATATAAATTATTTATCTAATTAATAATTATGTTTAAGTTTATATAAACAAATAAAAACAATTTTATTAATTTAGCAAAAAACAACAATGCATATAATAAAAAAAAATACGAGTGCGATAATCCGAAAACACAAAAAATTGAAGAATAACTTATTTTATTATAGGACGGTAGCCGGTACGATAATTTAATAATACAAAATAATTAAATTATTTTATTATATGGCGGGCTCGTGCCGTGCCCGGCCGTGCCGGCGTGCCGGCCCACGTGCCGGCCACCGTGCCGCCCATCGTGCCACGTGCCGTGCCCGTGCCAAAACTATTTTTTTTGTTCACGGCACGGCCCACGGCCCACAGGTGGGCTGCCGTGCCGTGCCGGTGCTGGCGTCGTGCCGTGCCGGGCCCGTGCCGCCCGCGTGCCGGCACGGCCCGTGCCCACCTTTAGACGGAAATTTCCGTCGCAACATATTTTAAAAAAACAAAACAAACAACCTCCTTAAAAACTAAAAACCCTAAATCCCCCACTTCACTTTTCCGCCCCTAATCTCTCTTTCCCCCTTCTCCTTCTATCTCTTCTTTCATTCTCTCGGTCCTCTTCTCTCTCCTCTTTCCTTTCATCTTCTCATTCCTCTTCTCACTCCTCTTTCTACCACCGTCCCCCTTCTCCTTCTGCCCCCCTTCTCCTTCTTTTTCTTTCTCCTTTTGTCTCCTTTTCGATCTCCTTCTGTCCCCCTTATTAATTTTCGTTCATCTTCTCTCATCTCTTTCACCCACCTTACTACCACCGTTCCGCCGCAACAACACCAACAACATCGATATCAACTAAAACGGCACCATCAATGACATCAACAACGAAGGTTTTGGGTCAAATTCGACCATGAAAACTTTAGATCTAGAGTTTTCATGGTCGAATTTGGCTTATAAACCCAATTTCGAGGTTATTTTTGGTCAAATTAAGGTATTTATCTATTTTTTTCTTAATTTTGATTTTATTTTGTTAATTTTGTTTTGGGTTTTTTTTTTAAAAATATATGGTGGTGGTGGTGGTGGTTGGAGTTCCAATTTTGGGGGTTGGGTTGGTGATGATGTGTGGTCAGATTTTTTTGATTTTTTTGGGTTGCGGTGTCGTGGTCGGCAGATCTAGGTACGTGGGTTTAAATTGGTGCTGAAGGGAGGGAGGTGGTGGTAGGTAGATCTGGGTTTTGGGTAGGGATTTTTTTTTTATGTTTGTTTTTTTGTTGCGGTGGGGTGGTTTGGCGGTGGGGACTGGTGGGGATATAGGTCTGTTGGTGGGTAAGTTAGGGGTTGGAGGTGGTTAAACGTCGTGCCGGTGGTGGTGCGGCGTTTTTTTTTTTATTTCGGTTGAAACTGTTTCCGACGGAATCCCTGTCGGAAATTTACGACGGAATGTAAAATCCGTCGGAAATTTACGACGAATTTTCCCAGTGCCGAAGATTGTCTTCAGACGGAAAATGTCATTTTTCCTACGATGCCTTTTCCGACGGACCAACGCCGACGGAATTCCATCGGAAACCCGCTTTCCGACGAAAACAGGTTGTTTCCAAGGAAAAAAGTCCGTCGGAAAACGGTCTTTTTATTGTAGTGATCGAGGTCGTCGGATTCCGGCGATCTCCCCCCACCCCTTGCCGCAACCTCCCCAACCACCAAAACCCCCTACGATCTAAACCCTAACCACCACACCAAACACCATATTCGACCCTCCCAAACCAGCCTGACCCCTCCCCGAACCTCCCCACCGCCCGCCGACCACAATTCGACAAACCCTGACCTGTTTCCACCCCTCCCCACCCTTAATCCGACCCCGGTTTGGGTCACATAATACAATGACTCTGATTCATATGATGGAGTTAGCGGAAGGTTTGGAGGAGAGTAAGATCCCGTTCTTGTGGGTGATTTGACCGCCATTCGGGTTCGATTTCAATGGGGAGTTTAAACCCGAATGGCTGCCCTGAGAAGTTTGAGGAAAGAATGATGGAGAAAAAACAGGGGATGTTGGTGAGAGATTGGGTGCCTCATAGGTTTTGGGGTTGTAGTGGTGGGTGGTGGGTGGTGTCGTGGTACTAGGTGGTGGTGTTGGGTGGTTTCGTGGTGCTAGATGGTGGTGTTGGGTGGTTTCGTGGTGCTAAGGTGGTGGTGATAGGTGGTGGTTATGATAGGCTGGTGGTGGTGGTGGTGTTGGGTGGTTTCGTGGTGCTAAGGTGGTGGCAGAAGTGGCGGTGGTGTAGAGAGGAGAGAGAAAGAAGAGGAGTGAGAAGGAAATTAAAAAAAAAATCCTTTTAACCGGTTTAACAAGTTAAAGGTCAAATGGATCTGTCAAAGAAGGTGGGGTGTAAGGTTGGATTTTTTTTAGATTAATGGAAGGTTGGATTTTTATTGTCAGACCCGACCAAAGGTTGGATTTTTAGATTCCATTTTTCCTATTTTACATCAAACTAACAAACGGGATAAGATGTTGCAAGTAATAAAAAACAGAGAAAGTATTAGATTTTTAGCTACTATATAAGGGATAGTGCATAAGAAGAAATGACATATGGAGAAATAAGCAAGTCAATAGTTGATCAATAACTTACTACAATAAAATATAAATATACAAAGAGTGCTTCGGAATTCAGGAAAATGAAGAGGGTCTCATTCAACCTTGTTGCTCTTGCTGTGTTTGCAATAATATTCATGCTGTGTGCTGCAACAAGTTAGTTAACAAAATCTATCCTATGTTTTATTTGTAGTAGTTTGAACTAACGTATATTATTGTTTTGTTCATTTTTTTTCAATATATAAGCTGTTCTATGCTAAAATATAATAAATTGTTCTCAATCTATTACTTTGTACTAAAACATTTGTTAATATAAATTGTGCAGCTCCGGTGCTTGGAGAGGCGGCAACCACTTCCGGCGAAGAAATGGCATACCCGGCGGAATATAAAATTATGACATTGGAAGAAGTGGCGGCGAGGAGGAGAGAGCAGGCAAGTATGTACAAGAATAAGATTACTGGCCGCGAAAGCCTGAAAGCAAAAATGATAAGTTCACTACCTATGAATACTCTCGATGTTTCTCAGCAGGCATGCGCGGCTAAAGGCGAATTCTGCCACTTCATATTTGGACCGTGGTGCTGTAATGATATAGCATGTATACCACCAGCAGGTATTTTTGGTGGCGTGTGTGTGGCTTAAGCTCGGACTACTAATATAGCCTAACGCCTTAGCCAGTGATCGGCTGGCCGGCCAATAGAGCTTAGTTCGTTCTCGTCTTTCTTAAATTTCTTGCATCGTACTACTTCATGAATCAAATGTTGTCACTTAAGTTTTCATGCATGCTTGTTTATGTAACATAAATAATGGTTATCATCTGATCAAGGATGTAATGTAAGTGTGTTGTGTGTTAGTCAGTTAGTTTATGTAATGTAAGGGAAGTTTAATTATAAAATATGATGACAGTCATCGTTTGAGCGTGTGCTTCTAATTCCATTATAACCCTCAGAATTGCATACATATCCAAAGTAATAACAATATAAAAGTTAAAATAATAATAATAATAATCATTCAATGTTCTAAATTAAAAATGCATACACAGAGATTCGAATTGAAAACCTCATTGAATGAAAACAACATGTATTACTATCTTAGCTAGAAATAAATCAATGTTTTTATTAATTCTCTCTCTCACACACACACTAATATATATTCTAAATTACCCAAAATATAAAAGTTAACAAGATTATTCTTAAAGCATCTGATATAAAAATGAAATTATTCAACGTATCATCCGTAGCAAAACCTGGGTCACACACTAGTTTTTAAGATTCTAACAAGTATGACCGAGTATGTTTTTGTATAGTGCAAGCTAAGAGTTAAATTATGGCACTTTATAAAAGGGGGAGTAAATCACTTTTACTAAGCTAGTGTAATACTTTTAATTTAACATTATACTATTTTTTTTATTTCCTAATTGTTTGCTTTCAATATATTGACTAAAAAGTAAAAATCGTTGGCAGCAAGAACTTAGGGCCTATTCTAATAGACTGAAATCAGCTGAACTGAGCTGAACTGAACTGAATATTTTATAAGATAAGAAAATTAGGAGCTGAACTGAACTAAACTAAACTGAATTGAAAATAAACGTATGAGAACAGACCCTTATTGTGATCAAAGCTAGTTGTGATCAGTTTGAAAGGGATGGCTAATTTTGTATTATAGACCATTCAAAAGGCAACCAAAGTTTTGAACATATATGTAGGTTTTTTTTTTTTTGGCCATACAACCACTTTCTATTTTTTTAAAAAAAGAAATCCCATGGGACACTAAATTTCATTAATTAAAGTCATATGACATCTACAATAGACAAATAACAATAATGAAAACGAATTTAACAAAATCAAACAAAAATTAATCAAGGAAGGGCTAAGAATCCAAATACATGAATATAACAATTCGGCACATTCTGATTCTTTGTCTCATACAACTTTTTTAGTGGATCCGTCGTCGCTTCGCAATTTTGGGAGAAAGTTAATTCTTGTGCTGATTTTGTAACCCGAATCCGAGCCATAATCAATCGTAGCCCCGCACAACCAGAGACCAGATTAAACACAAATAAAACCTTGTCTTTCGAAGGAGTCTGAAAAACCTTGAATTTCGAAGGAGATCGAAAAAACCTTGTCTTTCGAAGGAGATAAACTCTTTTTTTCGAGGGAGACACTATTGTAACCTAAGAAACAAAAAACTTAAAACAAAATAAAGATTTGGGCTTTCCATACCGGTGAAATCCGATAGAAACCCCTTCAAAATTGACAATGGAGGCTAGGGTTTATGAGAGAGAAGGCTAGGTTTTTTTTATAGTTATACACCATACAACCACTTTCTAATAGTAACTGCAAGTAATCTATGATAATACGAAGTATAAAAAAGCCAAGTAGAGGCCCAGAACTCAAAGAAGGATAGTTCTACGGTTTCCTACAAGATCACATTACAGCACAAAAAGTTTTAAGAGGCATTTCGCATGCACATTCAGAATCTAAGCAGGAAATTGTTAGAGCTAATGGTTGATAATTGAAGTAATTAGCAAGAACAATTAAGAAATTTGATTGTAAAAGAGACAAGAAATTGGAAGGTGGGAAAATCCTTCAAGCAATTACTTTAAGACTATGAAACCCACCCAAGAACAAGGAGAATGATTGTATTGATTATAATTAGTGTTTACAAGAGTAATCTCTCAATAATTTTCACTCTAAAGTACAAGGGTTTCAAGAACAAGAACCCTAGCTCTAATTGTGTTTCACTCAATTTGGGGATAATGAACAAAATAACCCTTAATGGGTATTTATACCCCGACGGATTTGGACAGGGTATCAGGTAGGCACGGACGTGCCAAATATGGCATGGACATGCAAGCCCAGATAACTCATTCCAGTAGCCACTGCTCGTCTGGAACTGAAGCAGCACGGACGTGCCATATTTGGCACAGACGTGCATCCCCTGTTCGCGTCAGCACAGACATCTCGTAGTAAAACAACTATAACTTCCTCGTTTCTTATTGGAATTAAGCTTATGACATATCATTGGAAAGCTCTTGAAACAAGCTTTCACCCCCAACTTGAATAACCTCAAAAATCTAAGTAGTTTGAGAGATATGCCCAGTTGAAGTTGACCCATCCAATGTTTCCTTGCTTAACACAAGTAATTCATCCCCTTAGCTTATATGCCAAGCCTCGATTGATTCTCGAGTCACATTCCAACAATTCTCCACCTTGACAAGATAATCAATCATGTCAAGTAACCACAACAACCATCCGAAAAACAACGGATGTAACCAACATCTTCAACAAAGATGAAACCACCTACAAAAGGTGTAACCACCCTTACAAGGGTGTCAAAAACAACATAGCTAATAACAACCAACCAATTTTGAGCAATGCTCAAACTTTGCAACCGGCAAAGGCTTAGTTAACATATCCGCCAGATTCTCCGAAGTATGCACCTTCCCTAGTTCCACCTTGCCACTAGCAATAGTATCTCGAATATAGTGATACTTTATATCGATGTGTTTTGTCTTCCTATGAAAAGAATTTTGATTTTTGGCCAAGTGAATAGCGCTTTGGCTATCACTACAAATCTTAGGAACACATCTCTCCAACCTTAACTCTCCAACAAATCCACTAAGCCATTGGGCTTATTTGAACCCCTCCGTTAAAGCCATGTATTCGGCTTCCGTTGTTGACAAGCCGGTCACTTCTTGCAATGCCGACCTCCAACTAATAGCCGAACCACCGAGGAAAAACACATACCCCGAAGTGGACTTCCGATCATCAAGGTCACCACCATAATCGGAATCCACATAACCAATCAAGTCATCTCCATTCCGCCCATACTCAATACAAGTGCTAGAAGTACCCCGCAAATACCTAAGAATCCACTTGACGGCTTGCCAATGTGCCTTTCCGGGATTTTCCATGTACCTACTTACCACGCTTATGGCTTGATCGAGCAATGTCTGGTCGAGTACAAACCATTCCATACATAATGCTCCCAACCGCTTTGGCATAAGGAATGGATGACATGAACTCCTTGTCCTCCTTGGAATTAGGAGAATCCAAAGATGACAATTTGAAATGAGATGCTAAAGGAACAGAAACGGGCTTAGCATCCATCATATGGAATATCTCCAAGACCTTTTCAATGTACTTTTCATGGGATAAGTACAAACTCCGTCTCTCACGGTTTCTTATGATCTCCATGCCGAGAATTTTCTTTGCCGGCCCCAAATCCTTCATTTCAAATTCCCCCTTCAACATTTCTTTCACCTTCTTGACCTCAAACATATCTTTTTCCGCCACAAGAATATCATCAACATATAGCAAAAGATACAATAAAGAGCCATCACTCACCTTCTTCAAGTATACACAACTATCATAGTCACTTCGGGAGAAACCATGCCCCAACATACATTGGTCAAACCGTTTGTACCATTGCCGAGGTGATTGTTTCAAACCATACAAGGACTTCATTAACAAGCATACATGCTCCTCCTTACCCTCAACAACAAAACCATCCGGTTGCCGCATATAGATTTCCTCCTCAAGCTCTCCATGCAAGAATGCGGTTTTCACATCTAATTGCTCCAACTCCAAATCATGCATAGCAACAAGAGCAAGTAGTGAACGAATAAAAGCATGCCTTACCACCGGTGAGAAAATTTCATTGTAGTCGATTCCCGAAACTTGGCTAAAACCACGTGCTACAACTCTTGCTTTGCACCTTGGCTCCTCAATCCCCGAAATTACCTCTTTGTACTTGTAGACCCATTTGCAATCAACAATTTTCTTGCCCCGTGGTTTCTCTACAAGCTTCCATGTTTGATTCTTGTGAAGAGATTCCATCTCTTCTTCCATGGCCAATTGCCATCTTTTGGAGTCAACACACTCCATTGCTTCGGTATATGAAGATTAGATGGCTCAAGATCGACTACATCACTAGCAACATTCAATGCATAAGCCGCCATCTCCTCGAAACCGAACCGGACCGGAGGCTTTATAGGCCTCTTAGCCCATGAAGATTGTTCCTTCCTAGGGGTGGTGGCCTTCCTAGGGGAGGAAGTGGAAGGAACATCTCCACCTTTTTGTGGTTTCTCTACACCACCATCATCATCAAGAACTTCATCAACCTTCTCACAAGTATCAACACCGTCATCATTCTCCACCTCTTTCTCGGCAAGCTCAAAAGAAGAAGTATCACCCTTTTGAAGAAATATGGACTCATTAAAGGTAACATCTCATCTAGTGATGATTCTTGATGTGCTAGGGTCCCAAAGTCTAAAACCCTTGACCCCATCCATGTATCCTAAGAAGATACACTTCTTTGCTCTAGGCTCTAACTTCCCGTCATTCACATATGCATAAGCCGGGCAACCGAAGACTCTCAATCCGGAATAATCTCCCGGCAAACCCGACCACATATCCTCCGTCGTCTTTAACCCAAGAGCGGTGTGTGGTGATGAGTTTGCCACATGAGCCGCCATTTTCAATGCTTCGGCCCAAAATCCCTTGCTTAGCCCCGCTTGGAACAACATACACCGAGCCTTTTCAAGCAAAGTCCTATTCATCCTTTCCGCCACTCCATTTTGTTGTGGTCTACCGGTACAAGTGCGATGACGAGCAATGCCAAGTTTCTTGCAAAACTTGGTGAATTCTTTCTCCAAAAACTCAAGCCCGTTATCCGTTCGCAACCTTTTTATTTGCCTTCCGGTTTGCTTCTCAATCAAGGTTTTCCAATCTTGGAACTCCTCAAAGACTTGATCTTTGTTTTTCAAGAAGAAAACCCACACCTTCCGTGAATAATCATCAATAAAGGTGAGCAAATAGCGGTTACCACCCAAGGATGGCTTTCTAGAAGGACCCCACAAATCCGAGTGAATATAATCAAGTGTACCCTTGGTTCTATGTGTGGCCGCCTTGAAGCTAACCCTTCTTTGTTTC